AGCCTGGACTTCTGGTAGTTCTCTGTTGATGTGCTGTTCCAGTCGTTTTTGGATAATCTTCAGTAAAATCTTGCTTGCATGTGAAATCAGTGAAATTGTTTTTAGAGGCTTTAAATTGCATGGGAGAAGACTGTCCATCTATTTTTGCCCCCTGGAGAACAGCTGGTAGATTTGAACCATTTGCCTTCAGGATTGCAGCACAGCTTCTTAACTCTAGACCATTAAAGTTCCCTGGATGCTGTTGTTATGTGCCATCGAGTCACCTACGATTCATAGCGACAGTAGCTCCGACATCTACTCTATCCTAAGCCAATCTAACCGTCTCCAACAGACCTAATTCCGTTCCTCTAGTCACTCAGTCAATTCATCTCATCCTGGGTCTTCCTCTCATGCGCTGTCCCTGAACCTTTCCAAGCATGATGTCCTTCTCCAAGGACTGGTCCCTCCTGGCCACGTGCCCAAAGTCTGTGAGACAGAGCCTCAGAATCCTTGCCTCCAGGGAGTAGCCTGATTTCACCCTCTCTAGATCTGACTTGTTTGTTCTCCTGGCAGTCCACAGTATGTTCAACACTCTTTTCCACAACTCAAGCATTGATCCGGCTATCATCCTTAGTTATTTTCCAAGTCTCGGATGCATAACAAGTAATTGCAAAGACCATAGCCTGGATCAGGTGCACCTTACTTTCCAGTCTGATTATCATTGCTCTTCAGTGCTCTAGAGAGGTACTAGAGAGGCAATTTTCCCAATTGCACTGGATGCTATTACTACTCTTAATTTAGAGTTAACAACACAGAGGTTCGGGGAGGTAGAACGCTCAGGTGGTAACTGGGGACAGACGCAAATTAATTGACCAAGAGGAGGGAACAGGTCTGAGTGCCTCAGAGCCCGCGGCCACCTTCTGGCCCTGCCCCGCCTCCACCACGCCCACACCCGCCCCAGCCCCGCGAGTAGCTCCGCCCCTGGCCTTTTCGCCCCGCCCCACGAGCAACCACGCCTCCCGGCCCCCATTCGTCCCGCCCCACCCACAACCTGGCCCCGCCCCGTGCAGCTCTGTCCCCGACCCTTCGCCCCGCCCCACCCACTCTGGCCCCGCCCCCGCTACGCTCCCCGGGCCCATTCGCCCCGCCCCACGCAGCTTCGCCCTCAGAACCTTTGCCCCGCCCCCCGCGCAGCTACGCCCCCGGACCCGTCGCCTCGCCCCGCCCCGGCTCGGGCGGCCGGAGGACCCGGAGCGAAGGCGCCGGAGCCCGAGCCCGCGGCGGCGGCGAGGACGATGTGGTTCTTCGCCCGGGACCCGGTCCGGGACTTCCCGTTCGAGCTCATACCGGAGCCTCCGGAAGACAGCCCGCCCGGGCCCTGGGCCCTGCACCGCGGCCGTAAGAAGGTAAGCGCGGCCCCGCTGCGCAGGCCGCGGCCCAACCCCGGCCTCGCCTAGTCTGTGCCGCCGGCCCCGCCGCGACGCGCCTGCTCTGACGTGGCCGCCGAGCCTCGGGAGCAACGGGCCTGGGGAGGGGACGGGCTTGCCGGTAGCGCCGACGTGGCGGGCGGAAGGACGGGGGACAGGCAGCCCGGGCCGGGTCACGTGGACTGGTCAAGTCCCCGGTGGCTGACCTGGGCGACACTTGGCCGGAGCTTCCCCTGAACCATGGCTGGGCTTCCTCCAGGAGCCCGCGAGCCTTCCCTACTCTCCGGCCCCTCTGTCCCCCGCAGGCCACGGGCAGCCCGGTGTCCATCTTCGTGTACGACGTCAAGGCAGGTGCCGAGGAGCAGACCCAGGTGGCCAAAGCTGCCTTCAAGCGCCTCAAAACCCTCCGACACCCTAACATCCTGGCCTACATCGATGGGCTGGAGGTACCCATTGTTCAGTCACCCCTTCTCTGCCCTTCAGTCTGCTCTCTTCTTATGCCTGGGTTTGCACTCCTCCTGCCTGAACCCCCAGATTTCATTCCCTTCCCTGCCTTTCCCTCACCTCCCTCCAACTCCCCTTTGTCTCCTCACGCTGGTTCTGACATCCCTGTCCCTGCTTCCCTAGACAGACAAGTGCATCCATGTGGTGACAGAAGCCGTGACCCCGCTGGGAACGTACCTGAAGACGGGGTTGGAGGCTGGAGGCCTGAAGGAGCTGGAGCTCTCCTGGGGGCTACACCAGATCGTGGTGAGTTTGCAGTGACAGTGTGGGCCGGGCAGGGATGGGGCCTGCAAGTGCTGGACATGACGACTCCTTCTGCCCCCAGAAAGCACTGAGCTTCCTGGTCAACGACTGCAGCCTTATCCACAACAATGTCTGCATGGCGGCTGTGTTCGTGGATCGCGCCGGGGAGTGGAAGCTGGGGGGCCTGGACTACATGTACTCCGCCCAGGGTGATGGTGGAGGACCACCCCGCAAGGGATTCCCTGAGCTTGAGCAGTATGACCCCCCAGAGCTGGTTGATGGCAGCAGCAGAACGGTTGGGGAGAAGTGGTAGGTCCAGAAGGAGTGGTAGGGACCTGGGGATGTGGGCTGTTCCCCTACCTGTCCTGTACCGGGTGGCTTTGTGTTCCCACCACTGCCATCTGTCTGGGTTGGGCACCAGGATCCACCGGGTGGGCCCACTCCTCTGCTCCCAGAATCCTCAGGGCAGTGGGGCAGGATGGACAACATGCGGCAGTGTCAAGTGGCTCTGAATTTAGAAGCTGTGTGAGCGGGGCCAGAGGTCCTCACTTCTTTGATTCTCAGTTTCTCCATCTTTCAAACGTGGCTCATAGATTAGCTTCTTAGGGAGCTCCGGTGGCCTAGTGGCAAGAAGCTTCACTGCAGTCCCAGAGGTGCGCTGTTCAAATCCACCAGATGCTCTGCTGGAGAAGGAGAGGCAATCTCCTCTTGTGCCAGTCAGATCCTATTTGACGGTACACACACAAAATATAATAAAATTAAAAAAAAATATTAGCTTCTTGGGACTGCTGGGAAGGATCATCTGAGACATGAACCAGGGCTGCTGCATGGCGTGGTGGGTGCCTGGTGCCGTGGGCAGGCTGGAGGTGAGGCTTGCCCTGGTGGATGGTGCAGCCCTGAGTGACTGGATCACTGATGCAGGTCAGCTGATATGTGGCGCCTGGGCTGCCTCATCTGGGAGGTCTTCAATGGACCCCTGCCGCGGGCAGCTGCCCTGCGCAACCCTGGGAAGGTGAGTGTGCCACCTCTGGCCTGTTCTGCGTCACCTACCCCCTGCCAGCCAGCCAGCCAGCCACTCTCACACTGACGCTTCTCCCATAGATTCCAAAATCGTTGGTGCCCCATTACTGCGAACTGGTTGGAGCCAACCCCAAAATGCGGCCCAACCCAGCCCGCTTCCTGCTGAACTGCCGGGCGCCTGGTGGCTTCATGAACAACCGCTTTGTGGAGACCAACCTGTTCTTAGAAGAGATTCAGGTAGCCACCACTCCCATGCGTTGGACCCACCTGGGTTCACATTCTGCCTCTAACTTGTACTTACCTGTGTGGCTTCGTATGCGGATAAGGCACTTCCAACTGCGTGATCACAGTGCAGGGTAGGATTGTCCCTGGGCTTCCGAGACTGTCACCTTGACGGAAGCCGATTGTCACCTCTTTCTGATGAGTGCAAACCACTGCCCTTTTGGTCAGCAGCTGAGCACTTTAACCACTGCACCCCTAAGGAGCCCTTTGGCTGTCAAACAGGCGATAAAGGCTCACTCCTGAGGCGGTTGTTCTGCTAACTCAAAAGTCGGCCCTCAGGCGAGCTCTGGTGGCCTAGTGGCAAGAAGCTGCAACTGCAATCTGAGAGATGCATGGTTCGAATCCACCAGATGCTCTGCTGGAGAAGGAGGAACAATCTCCTCCTTTACCAGTCAGATCTGATTTGATGGTACACACAAAAAATAATGAAATAAAATAAATTTAAAAAAAAAAAAGTCGGCCCTCTGGTGGTTCAAGTCCACCAGCAGCTCACAGGAGAGATTGGCAGTCTCCTCTTGTGTGATTTATAGCCTCCAAAAACCCACTGGAGGGCAGTCAGTAGTGGGCGGGCAGGTACTCACTTCAGCAGTGAGTGCAGTGCCTAGTGTTTTGACACCGGTAGGCACTTAACGGTTGTGCCTGTGCTCCGTGAATTCCACTGGTGCGCTGGTTCTGCCTGGAGTGCGCAGTGCCTGAGACTGAAGTAGGGGAGGTGGGGGTGGGAGGAAGGAGAGTCAGACACAGACCTACCTTCAGAGATCTAGCAGAAAGTGACCAGGCAGAACCCACCCTCTCCGTGGGACAGAAAACACAGCAGGAAACCTGTGCTCTGGGATGGGGGCTCTGAGCTGGGAAATGGCAGAGGGAGGGGCTCTCTGAAGGACTTGATGGTAGGCGTCCTCCAGGGATGAAGGAATTCTGTGGTGAGGAGAGAGCCCTCTGCTTAACCTCTCTGAACCTCAGTTTTGACATCTGTGTAATGGGACTGATAGTAGTATCTGTCTCCCCTGGGGTTGTAGTGGATGGAGGAGACGGGCCTGCCTCCCCCAGCCATGTGCGAGGCACACAGAATGGCAGAACCAGCCCTGGCTCCTCACAGGCTGAGATTCTGGGGTGAGGTGGAGAGTGACAGACACTTCCACATGTTCTTGTTGTTAGGTGCCTTCAAGTCAGTTGGCACTCGTAGCAACCCTGTACCATAGATCTGAATCTTGCTCTATCTTGTGCCAGCCTCACCATCTCGATACACTCAAGTCTGTCGTTAACAGTCACCATGTCAGTCCATTTGATCTGAGGGTCTACCTCTCCTGTGTTGACCCTCCAGTGGAATCCTGGCTCAGGTGGGGGCACTTAGAGGACCTTTGGCGGTGGAGCTCCTGAACCCTACTTTCCCCTCCCCTGGGCACTTTGGGCACACTGGATGTTTGTTATGTGGAGTTCGCACATGGCTGGCCTTCCAGTGCTATCTGGCTGGAGCCTACGAAGCACCTGCCCCTCCCGACAATACCACAGGAAATGCACTGTTTGTAGCCAGTCCTGAGGATGTGGGAGGGCATTACCCCTCTGTCACTGGGCAGAGTGGTGGAGTGAGCCCCGGCTGTGGCCTTGATGTGGGGTCCTGGTTGGAGTTGTCCCCTGGACCTTGGGTTCCTCTGATCCCTGTGGTCAGAGCACAGGGCTGCCTTCTGCACTGGGCCAAGATGCTTGAGGATAGCCAGCCCCTCCTCTTCTCCAGCCAGAGGTCACCTCTCCTGGACCTGGTGGTGGCCCTGGGACCAGAGGGACAGCAGAGAGCACAGGGACTTTGGGAGCATCCAGGGCTGGGTCCCTTGAGCCTCATCCTTCTCTCTGTGTAATGTCAGGCACAGTGCAGAGGAGCAATGTGAGTGCCAGATCTCTGGGTCAGACTCTCCCCTCACTGCTTGTTAGCTGTGTTACCTTGGACTAGTCCTTGACCTTTCTGTTCCTCAGTTGGCACCTCCTTCATAAAGTTGTCTGGATGATTTGAAAGCATTTGCATAAGGATGCATGCATTTCAAGCTCAGGAAAGGGGCCTGTGGGCCTTAGGGAGATTAAAGAGGACCCTCAAGTTGATGGTCACGTGTTTCAGAGATGGTGAAACATCATGAGGATGGGCCAAGGTTCAGAGCCATTCATTGTTCATAGTCATCGTGAGTCACGGTTGACCCAAAGGCATATAACAAGAAGTTGACGCCTGGTCCACTTTGGCTATGCAGGAAGACGGTGTCTAGTGGTGACTAGCGTCTGATCCCCGCCTTCCCCTGTTGGCTGTGAACCTCCTCGTCCCGGTAGTGGAGTTGCCTCAGTTTCCTCATCTGTATGATGAAGTAAATGGTATTTACACCTTGAGACTGCTGTGAAGTGTAGAAACAAGGTGATAAAGGCCTGGCCCCTGAGCGGCTGACCTCCTGACAAAGTGCAGGTGCTGGAGGCAGCAGTGAGGACGACAGTCTCCAAGTGCCCAAGCACCTGCTGCATGCCGGATGTTTACCTGCTTTCTCCCCTGAGTCATCAGAACAGCCCTGGAAGTGATACCGTTACCGTCCATGCTACAGATGGAAAAACTTGGCTGCAGTCCCTTGGCTCCTGTGTGAGGGAGTGGGGATTTGAACACAGGCCCACACTCTCCACTTCTGCCCCTTCAGATCGGCCTGTTGTTGCCCATGGTTCCTGTTTCCTGTCTGCATCCTGTCCTTGCTCCCCTAGATCAAAGAACCAGCCGAGAAGCAGAAGTTCTTCCAAGAGCTGAGCAAAAGCCTGGACTCATTTCCAGAGGGGTTCTGTCGGCACAAGGTGCTGCCCCAGCTGCTGACCGCCTTTGAGTTTGGAAGTGCTGGAGCTGTGGTCCTCACACCCCTCTTCAAGGTGAATGGGGTGCGCAGCCTCACTGGGGACACTTGGCAGGCGGCAGGCCAGGGTCTCTGGGCTCAGAGGACTGGCTGCAGTAGGGAAGGTGCTAGAGTTGGGGTCATCCAGGGAGGAGTAGCCTGGCTGGGCACATCCAGGTTGGCAAGCCAGGTCATTTGGCCAATTACCAGGGAGCCTGAGGACTCTGTCCTTGGGGACAAGTGACCTTGTGTCTCCAAAAATCTTCCATATGGCCCCTGTCTCAAGTCCTCAGCCCACCCTCATTTCTCTGAGATGGTCTGACCTGCCACCCCCATTCCTTGGGCCCAGAGGCTCCTGCTGGTCACCCCATTTCCCATCCTCCTCTTTGTTCCCTTGGTCCTAGCTTGCCTGGCTTCTGAGTTAGATCCTCTTCTTCAGACCTTTATGTGGGCACCTGCCATCCCTGGCTCTGCCCACTCTGGGAGAATCCTTCTCTTTGGGGAAGGGAGAAGGGGGGGTAGAGGAGGTGAGGAAGAGACAGCTAGAGTTCAGGTAGCCCAGGCGTCACAGCCAGAGTGCCAGGCAGGTGTGGGCAAGGGTAGAGTATGGGTGCCTGCTTCTGGAGGGGGCCCCTCAGTCTCCCGCAAGAAGTCTCAACCCAGCAGGGGCGCAGGCCAGCCAGTGAGATGGAGCGAGGGCAGAGGGGCCACTGAGGAAGGGCACTTCCTTCCCCACTCCCACCTCTGCCCTGGGAAGTTGGCAGGAAGGGAGCATGTGGAAACCTGTGGAACCCTTGGTGCCTGACCCTGGCCTCCCTTGGAGGAGGCTGAGCCCCGGCCTGTTCTCCCCACAGGTGGGCAAGCTCCTCAGCGCCGAGGAATACCAGCAGAAGATTATCCCCGTGGTGGTGAAGATGTTTTCCTCCACCGACCGCGCCATGCGCATCCGCCTCCTGCAGCAGGTGGGCGCCTCGTCAGACCCCACCCTGCTGCTCAGGAGGTCCCTGCCTCCCCGAGCCCTAGCTGGTCCGTGAAGCCCCTGATCTCGGTGCCCAGGGCCCTGGAGTCCCTCACTACAACACCCACAGGCTGGGGCTGTATTGAGACCAGCTCTTGGGGAATTGGGGTAATCTTAGGGTCTGACAGCCCTCTGGATTCAAGTCTCTGACACCCTCAACCCCTTGCCTGGAGGCCTCATTCTCTCCCTGAGTGATACTAGTCTCTTGTCTACCCCAGGGCAGTGGGGGTCAGACAGGATGGATGGGACTATGGGATGGGAGTTTCCTGAGGGCCAGGGAACATTGGTGACTCACACCCTGGACCACAGATGGAGCAGTTCATCCAGTACCTCGACGAGCCAACAGTTAACACCCAGATCTTCCCGCACGTGGTGAACGGCTTCCTGGATACCAACCCCGCCATCCGGGAGCAGACAGTCAAGGTGGGTATGGTCAGGCCTTGAGTGGCTGCCCTTGGTGTCCCAGGCTTGGGGGGGTTCACCCTGGATTATGTAGGCCATGGAGGTGCGGCACACCAGCTCACAGTGTGCAGAGAGACTGTGGGTGCAGAAGGTACAGCCGCTGAGCTGTGAGGATGGGGGTCTTCACCCACAGTCCTCCGGTCAGCAGACCGTCTCTGTGCCCCAGCCCTTTGCCCCTTCAGAGCTTCACCTATGGCTAGGGAATGGGCTTCAGTCAGTACACTGATTTGATTTTTTTTTTCTGTTAGAAAGTGACCTGAATCAGGGAAAGGAGATGGGGAGTATGGAGAGCAGGGTCTGCAGTTTTTAAAAGTGTGACTTTGCTGAGGAGGTGTCCTTTAAGGAGAGGAGGTGAGGGGGCAGGCCTCATGGGGATCCCGGCAAGTGTATTCGTTGCAGCAGGAACAGCAAAGGCCCTGAGGTGCGAACAGTGTCTGTAGACACACGTAGAGAGTGAGAGGGGTCTGAGATCTAGGATGGGGGAAGGGGTAGAGTCGGAGTGGTAGCCGATAGACAGGGACGCTGGAGCGTGTGGCAGGGGCCTCGTACAATCACCAGGAGTGACAGGGACAGAGCAGAGCAGCGCAGGCACCGCTGGAGGATGGACTGTTGGACAACGGTAGAAGCGAGAGGTCTTGGACGGTTGTAGTGGCCCAGGGGAGGTGACAGCAGCTTTGAGCCCTGCGGTGGCAGCATGGGAGAGCAGGCGTGCCTGAGGTCGGGTGGCATGGATGGGGCTCTGAGGTGTGGGCCCCACGCAGCACAGGGCGACGTACCAGTCACTGAGTAGACCGGAGGAGGTTTCAGCTCTTAGGTGGCCATGGCACATTGAATCCATGTCTGACATTTAGGGGAGTCAGCTGGGATCCATACTGAATGGTGAGCTCACTGGGGGCTTTGGAAGTTGTGTGACAGGACCCTGGGGGGAGCACAGAGCTGAGAAAAGAGGCCTGGTATTGGGGGCAGCCAGGCCAAAGCATAGGAAGCTGCAAAGGGAGATGAGGCAGCCTGTGAGGAGAAGCAGGGAGGCTTGTTTTCCAGGAAGAAGAGACAGTAATGTCAGAGCCACAGGGTCTGTTTGGTGAGGATGGAATTAGCAACTTGGGGGTCCTGGGAACCTCTGCCAAATCAATGTGACAGGTTCGGGCTGGGGGGTGCATGGTTAAGAGAGGGGGCACTGAGAGAGCAGGAGAGAAATGGGAGACTGCAAGTGTAGACAGAACATTGAAGCTTTGCTGTAAAGGAGAACTGAGAAATGGGGGTCTTCTTCCTCAGCATCTGGGTCAGGGCCAGGCCTGGCTGGGGAGGAGGCGCCACAAGGGGGCTGGGTCACAGTGGTAACTGAGACAGCAGGGAGAGTTGCACTTCCGGGCCCCCCTCTCACTGAGGACACTGACTGAACTGGGAGCCAGTGGAAGGCTGGGGTGTAGAAGAGTGAGGTGTGCGGCAGAGGTGAGGAGAGCAGGGCAAGTTTTCCAGAAATGAGTGAGGGTGGATGGGGGCCCAGAACTGAGGACAGAACAGCAGCCACAGCCCGTTGGAGGCATGGGGAGGAGGCTGTTATTCAGGGTCTTGTAGACTTACACAGGGTGAGGGTCATAGAGGTCTTTGGGATAGATCCTCCCAGCTGTTGCTGGGTGCAGGACAGCTTTGGGGTCTAAGAACCTAAATTGGGAAGGATGTGATGCAGGTGGGAGATGATGGGATGGGCAGGGGCGTGGGTCCTGTGACAGGCTGGGGGGCTAGTTCTGGGAGGCCTGTGGCAGGGCAGGCAGAGTTCTGCGGGTGCCTGAGAGCTCGGGGGTCCTGACTGCATTTTCAGGATTTAGAACTGTGATGCGGATTAAGGGGACAAGAGTGGTGGCAGATGTCACAGGCAGAGACATGTGTTTGGCCCTGGGTGGATGGACCTGCGAACCAGGCTGAGGTCCCAGACCTGCTTGCTGTCCAGTGGTCTGTGCAGCTCTGAGGGCCTCTGCTGGCTTCCGCACGTCACCCATAGTCTCCACTGTCCCCACAGTCCATGCTGCTCCTGGCCCCAAAGTTGAACGAGACCAACCTCAATGTGGAGCTGATGAAGCACTTTGCACGACTGCAGGCCAAGGATGAGCAGGGCCCCATCCGCTGCAACACCACAGTCTGCCTGGGCAAGATTGGCTCCTACCTCAGTGCCAGCGTGAGTGCCCGGGCCGGCCCTCTGTGTGCTTGGACCTAGCCCTGAGACTGAGGCTCACGTGCCAGTCACACATCCAGTGGGTCAGCAACTTGAACCCGGCCTTGCCTGGCTCCCTGGACTAGGTGCCCTCCTCAGCCAGGGTCGATAGTCTCAAATGCCCACAGTGCCTGCCAGGTAGGAGGGAGGGCTAGCATGGCCAATAGGACAGGTAGGAAGAAGGTGCAGGCCCCCTCGCTCAGGGCAGCATGGTGCCCGAGTGGTCTGTGAGGAGTTTGAAGTTGGTTCCCCGCCTTGGTCATGGGTAGTGAATGCCGTCATCTGTCAGCCTGGCACCCTGGGGCGGCCTCAGTCTGGGCCCCGGCGATGACCCTACACGTCTGGACCCCTCTCCCTGCCCAGACCAGACACAGGGTCCTCACCTCTGCCTTCAGTCGGGCCACCAAGGACCCATTTGCTCCGTCGCGGGTTGCGGGTGTCCTGGGCTTCGCTGCCACCCACAACCTCTACTCGATGAATGACTGTGCCCACAAGATCCTACCTGTGCTCTGTGGCCTCACTGTGGACCCAGAGAAGTCTGTGCGGGACCAGGTGAGTCACCATGGGGGAGGACCTGGGTCGGGGTTTCCTACTGCTTGCCTGGCAGGCTCCTTGGAGCCCGAGCCCCAGCTTTGCCCCTTGTACCTCCTCAGGCCTTCAAGGCCATCCGTAGCTTCCTGTCCAAACTGGAGTCGGTGTCGGAGGATCCCACTCAGCTGGCGGAAGTGGGTGAGTGACCCACAACCGTGTCCCCTTGGCCCCCTCCCTCAAGAATAGACTTGACTGCTCCCTGCTCCCTGCCCCCCTTTACAGATGGGAGAGCCAAAGTTGGAGAGTGGCGGGGTCTCCTGTGGATCACTGGGGGTTTCTGTGGGAGCCTGAGGTCACACATACCCCTCTCTTCCACCATTGCCCAGAGAAGGACGTCCATGCAGCCTCCAGCCCCGGCGTGGGAGGAGCTGCAGCCAGCTGGGCAGGCTGGGCTGTGACTGGGGTCTCCTCACTCACCTCCAAGCTGATCCGTGCCCACCCCACGGCCACCCCCACTGAGACCAGTGCCCCCCAGCGGCCCGTACCTGAGGGTGAGTGTCCCAGGGCTGAAGGGGCCAGTCCCCAGGGGATGGCTTCAGGGATAAGAACATTCTAGCCTCTATGCCCTTACCCCAGCCACACACATAGCAGTGGCCTCTGCCCACCCTAGACCTCCAGGAGCCCAGTCTGCGGTGCTTAACAAACCTCTACTTTCCAGGACTCCCTGCCCCTGCCCCCACCCCTGTCCCCGCTGCTCCTGCTACCTCAGGCCACTGGGAGACCCAGGAGGAGGGCAGGGACGCAGCAGAGGACAGCAGCTCTGCCGACAGATGGGATGACGAAGACTGGGGCAGCTTGGAGGTGAGTGGGACTCGGAGCCTCCTTGGGTCTCCACCCTAAAGGCCAAAGGAGTTCCCATGGGGCTTGGCTGCAGTCAGACATGTCATCGTGTGCAGAGCATCCCTGGCTAAGAGGTGGCTAAGAGCCACAAGTGGCTCTTGTGGGCCCCTGAGCCCCTCACTAAGCTCTAGGGACCCCAGGGAACTGGGTGGACAGTGAGAGGAAGAGGAGGCCCCAGGGCCAGCTTCCTGCATTTCAGTCTCCTCACCAGGCGTGTGAGGAGGGTATGGGGCATCTAGAGTGTTCTCCTGCCTTGGAAGGGTGATAGAGGGGCTTGGTTGTCCTCAGAGAGGTGGGAAAAGGCTAAAAGGCAAGAGTGGTCCATGGCTGGTCACATGCCCTTTTGTGGGGGTGGGCTGGGGCCGGATGGGATGATGGTCCTCTTCCCACCCTGTAGCAGGAGGCAGAGTCTGTATTGACCCAGCAAGAGGAATGGAGCACCCAGTCTGGCCAGGCAGGGCAGGTGAGCCTGATAGAGCAGGGTTGGGGGGTGCCCCTGGACGGGACAGGTCCTACTCTCTTTTCCTCTGACCCCTGCAGGCCAGCAACTCGGACCATAAATCCCCAGATTCAGACTGGAGTAACTGGGAAGCTGAGGGCTCGTGGGACCAGGGCTGGCAGGAGCCAAGTCCCCCAGAACCACCCCCAGAGGACACTCGGCTGGCCAGCGAGTATAACTGGGGCAGCTCAGAGCCCAGTGACAAGGGTGATCCATTTGCTGCCCTGACTGCACGTCGGGAGACAGGTGCTCAGGTAAAAAGAGGTGGGAGGGAGCAGAGGAGTAGCCAGTGGTGGCCCGAGCAGCTCTCAGCACAGCAGCCCATGCTTCCCTTTGCAGCCCCGGCGGGACTCCTGGGGTGACGACAACTGGGAGGGCGTGGACACGGACAGTAAGTGCCTGCCTGGGCCAGCGGCCACCTCACCCCGCACCCCTGGGCCAGGCGTGGGCAATACACTGACCTGGCTCCCCTCCCTGGGGTCTCAGCTGCCCTCCTCCCGCCCTTAGGACAGGCCAAGGCAGAACTGGCCCGGAAGAAGCGTGAGGAGAGGCGGCGGGAAATGGAAGCTAAACGCGCGGAAAGGAAGGCGGCCAAGGGCCCCATGAAGCTGGGCGCCCGGAAGCTGGACTGAGCCGTGGGGCCCCGGCCGCGGAGAGCGGTTCCACGGTGTATTTATTGTACAAACCATGTGAGCCCGGCCTCGGTAGGGCACATCTCAAGTGTATATAATCAGAGACACAATAAATTCTATTTCACACCCTGTGTCCTGGGCCCAGTTGGGCCCTGCGAGATGGCCGGGGTCCTGTGCCGCTGCAGGGACTCGGAGGCCGCCCTCCGCACCGCCCGACATCATTTGCTTCGAAAGCCAAGGAAAAAGGCACAATCTGGTTTATCAGTTTCTAGGCAACGCTCCATGGGAGGAAGGACGGCCGAGCTGCGGGCATCCAGCACGGGCCCCCGACCTAGACGGGCCCCGAGCTTCTGGGGGCTGCGCTTGGGGCCAAGTGGGCAGCCTTGACTAGGTCGCCAAGCTGGCTAACAGGTCTGCGGGCCCCAGGGAGCCCTGAGTGCGGGGCAGGAGCCGCTCTGTCTTCACCGAGGTCCGCCGAGGGCGGTGTCAGCGGCGGCGCTGGGGCACGCAGGCCCCGTGCTGGCGGCTGCGGGCGAAGCCGGCCTTGCAGACGCAGCGGAAGGAGCCGCTGGTGTTGACGCAGCGCTCGCTCTTGCACAGCAGCCCGCGCTGGTTCAGCTCCCGGCACTCGTCGATGTCTGCGGGAGGGGCAACAGGTTGAGATGGGGCAGCGCCTGGCCCCGCCCCCAGCCCGCCCGTGGCCCCGCCCCTCTGCGGCCACGCCCCGCCCCGCTCACCAATGCAGCGCGCCCGGGAGGAGTCCAGCTGGAAGCCGCCGGGACACTCGCAGACGGCCCCGCCAGGCCGTGGCACGCAGCGGCCGCTCACACAGCGGCACTCATCTGAATCCTCTTCCGAGCTGTCCTCCTCTGCACCGGCCGGGGGGACACGGGCGTCAACACAGCCCCAAGGATGGCACCGACCCCTGCCCTCTCGGGCCCACTCACCTCGCGGGGCCTTCCCCAGCAGCAGGGGACTTGTATCCCAGAAGGAATTGCTCTCACTCTGAGACGTGGGGCACTGGGACCCTGGGAGGAGCGGGTGCATTCAGCGGGTGCATTCACCTCACTCTCCCTGGGACCACCCCTCCCAGCCACTCACCGGAGCCGCGCGGAGGGCACGGGCGACACTGAGCGCCCCAGCCGCGGCCCTGGCGGCAGCAACAATCTTCGAAGGTGAGGGCGGGTCCGGCCAGGGGCCCCGAGCACATGCCGTCGTCCCCACGCTGGCCCCAGCACACGTCGCGCCGCTCCGGAGCGCGCTCTGCTGGAGGAGGTGAAGGTCAGGGGGAGCTGAGGCCAGGGTGCGCACCCTGCCCTTTCCCACTGCGCAGGATCACAGCAGAGTGACCATCGCCTCACCCGCTGGGCTCTCAGTGAGCTGGCAGTCACGGCCAGACGGCCCCGGCACCCAGGGCGGGCGACACTCGCAGCGGTAGGAGCCTGGCAGGTTGATGCAGCGGCCAGGGCGGCAAGCTGCTGGGTCCTGGCATTCGTCCACGTCTGCGGGCAACAGGAGGTGGGAGCGGTGGTAGTCAGGGCTCGCTGGGGCTCCAGTCCCCCGCCCACCCCGGGCCGGGCCTCACCCATCTCCTCCCGGCTCAGGCACTGGCGCTGCGCGGGGCTGTACTCAGCAGGGGGCGTGCAGGCGCAGCGGTAGCCCCCACGCGTGTTCTCGCACACGCCGTTCCGGCAGTTGGACTCGTCCAGGCACTCGTCCACGTCTGCGGGCGTCAGGTCACATTGGGGGTGAAGTGGATGCCTCGGCACTGCGCCCCCTGCCCGTCCTGGCACCCCGGGGCCGTCGCTCACCCACGCACTCCAGCAGGTTTCCGTCGTAGTAGAAGCCCTGCTTGCAGTAGCACTCGTAGCCAGGCTGCGTGTTTACGCACTTGCCCTCCTTACAGATCTCCTGCCCGAACAGCATGCATTCATCTATGTCTGCGGGAGGGTGTGCAAGCAGCGCTCAGTCCTGCCACCCGGGGAGGCAGTGTGGCCACTGGTGCGCACGCTGCAGGGGGAGTTTCCGGACGATGTCAGGGGTGCCGCGGGGCTTACCACGGTGCGCGGGGATGCCGTAGTTGACAATGTTGTTGTCCTGGGTGTAGCCCTTCCCATCTGGGCAGAGGCTGTGGAACTCGGCTGAGGGGAAGGAAGGAGGCCGTCTGAGCGCACATGCTGAGCTCGCTCTCCACAATCTCCAACTACTTGGCCAGAGCCCTCTTTCCCTTCTCCATTCGAGGAGAGATGCAGGCTCTGAGAATGAAAGGGGCCTGGCCGCCTCCTGACCTGAGCTGTAGACTGGGCAGGGGTAGATCTCGCAGTGGTCGCCCCAGCCAGCCCCCAGGGAACAGCAACACTCCTGCTGGGTGACGTTGGTGGCCAGTACGCTGTCACAGAACACCGTGTCATCGAAGTTAAGGTAGCACTCCTTCTTGTGATGGGGCTGCTCCACCTCTGCACGGGGGTGAGGGTCTCAGGGTTGGGCCCCAACTTGCAGGGTCTTCCTCACCCCCCACTGCTTTTCCTTGCCCCCACCCCTCCCAGCTGCCTTATGACAGCCAGCCTCTTCAATACCGCCTTCAGGGCCCTGCCACACTTCCCCCATTCAAAGGGTTTTCTTTCAGATACACTGATTCAGGAAGGGGGGATCAGGTGGAGGGGGCCTGGTGGTACTCACCCTCACAGCCGTGCTGGTCCTGGGTGGGTGTGAAGCCCTCATCACACACACACACGTAGGAGCCCTGCAGGTTCTCACAGGCCCCATGGGGAAGGCACAGGCTTGGGTCCTGGCTGCATTCATCTATGTCTGCAGAGGGTGAGGTACACAGGCAGGGAACAGTAAGAGTGACACACTGCCTTCTGTCCCTGGAGGTATGACCCAGGCCTCCCACAAGTTCAGGATCCAAATCTCCAATTTTATTTCAAAAGTACACCCAAGAAGTCCCAGAGACAAAGAGTGAGTGTGTGTGTTCCCTTCTGTCATTCCCAAGGGCATACCTGTCTACTCTCCCCTAAAAACACAACTTTGTGCTTTGTATGTACTCTTCTCTGGTATTAAAGAGCCAGTCCATTCTCTTCTCTGCTAAGGGGACTCTTTCCAGTGTCTGGCCAATTGTCACTTCTTTGCAAATCCACATCCTCAAATATAAGCATTCACACAGAAATAAGTATCCACACATAACCATAACCTTTGTAGGATGCACAGCGACTACCACATGGGAGAGTTTTGTAGTCAACCTATATAATGGTGTAGTCAACTTATATGATGCACAATTCATCTGTGTAAGCAAGTGGCAGCTCTAATCCATCCAGCCCTCTCCGGACACTCAGCACTATGAAATGTAAGAAATGGTGGACATCTCAGCCTCGCATCAGCTTGGAAGCCTGGATCACTGTCCAGTTCCTAGTGCATAACATGGTCCTCAGTAAACTTGTTAGAGAACTGAATGTATGGGCTAACACACATTCCCTATGGGAAGGCTAGTGGATCAACACCTGTCAAAAGCTTGGGTTGCACCTGGCACACAGTTAAGCAACATGTAAATGTTAGTCAGCAGTACAACTGTTATCACTGGTATTCTAGGCAAGAGTGGAGGAAGAAGTGCCCAGATGGGTGCAAGGAATGACAAGACCATACCAACAGGTGCCCTTCCCCACCCCCTCTTGCTCTCCAGCCATTCCCTCCATACCTTGGCACTTCCTGCCTCCCACCAGCCGGTGCCCCTGGGGGCAGAGACATCGGTAGGAGCCATTGATGTTGATGCAGTCACCCCCAATGCAGGTGGCAGGGAAGTCACACTCATCGATGTCTGGAGAGGGGAGTAAGGGGTAGACATTCTCAGAGGCTGACTAACCTCCAGCTCACACAGCTGGGAACTGCCAAGATGTTTAGGGGTCCATATTCCTATGGCCCATCTTGGGGGTAGAAGGGGCTGGACTTGGGTTCCTGGCTTGGCCAAGGTCACCCTGCACTCAGAAGTGAGCCCTCCCAGGCCTCACCCTCGCAGCGGCTCCGGTCCCTGGACAGGTGGTAGCCAGACAGACACTGACACTGGAAGGAGCCTGGTGTGTTGGTGCAGATGCCATTGTCACACACATCCCCAGTCTCGCACTCATCCACATCTGCAGGGCAGATGTCACAGGGTCAGGCTCCAGGTGGTTGTGGGACCCTGGCACCCCCTAGCTGCAGTGGCAAAGCCAAATGCAGCAGGGTACAGGAGACCCATGGGCCCACACCCCCTGTCAGCACCCAGGAGGTGGTCAAGTCAGGTGCTGTAGGGACCTTAACCAGGATGAAACTGAAGAGTTTGGGCCATTTAGGACACTTGCCCTGCTTGCTTCTCTCATCCACCTACACCACCCCCATTTCCACACTGCACTGGGCTCCCTCCAGCCTCATTTCTGGGCCTGCATGGCTCCCTTCTTCCCATGTGCATAAGCTCTTTGCTTCTCTTACAGAATATAATAATTTCCCTTATCCTTGGTTTCAATCCCCTAAACACCATGCTTCTGGAAACTCTATGAATTTTGATAAATGTTGATAGTTACAGAAAGGCTTCATAAGCCTTTTGTTCATAGGATTTTATCAGTTGTGCCTGACTCAAAGGCAACAACAGGGTCAGAAAATGTTACACAAGAAAGGTGATGAAACCTTGCTTGTTCCCATTCTATCCCACCTTTGTCCAGTATATCCAGCTCTTGCTGTGCCTAATTTATAAATTAAGCTTTATCCTAGGTGTGTATAAGGAGTCTTGGTTGTACAGTGGGTTAAGCATTGGTCTGCTGACAGGCTGCTTGACCGAATCTCTGTGTGGGAGAAAGATGTAGCAGTGTGCTTCTCGAAAGATTAGAGACAGCCTTAGAAACCCTAAGGCCAGTTCTACTCCATGCTATGTGGTCACTGTGAGTCTAAACTCATTCCATAGCTGTGGTTATTAAAACGTATGTACATATAGGACCAGTCTATATAGAGCTCTGTATAATCTTCAGTTTCAAGCA